CAGTAATTTGAAGGGGGAAGGAGAGAGCGAGCGGCAGAAGCTCCAGCCGCGCCACAGTCGCGGGGACTCTCGTGTCAAGCAGCTCAGCATCGCGGCTGGGAAGGATGCGTGTAGGTGAGCAGGATTGCTGTATTGCTTTGGTGAAGAATTAGAGAAAGTAGTAATTTTATACGTGCTCTCTCGCTTATAGACCAAGGGAATGAATAGCCGGAAATATTCTGGGATGTTATAAAATCAGAAGGACTTTCGGTACAGTGTGGCGATGCGTAAGAGGAAATTAACTCCGAAAAGAATGCTTTCTCTCAAACTGCTGCAACAGAATTGAGATTTCTTCTTTTCCAGTACCTGAAATTTCTTCTGAAGACACTGCAAGGACTATCAAAAACATCAGAGATATTCTGGTACTTTTAAAGACACTTAAAGCAAAAGCCAGCGTAATATCTGAATGACCTTGGAGATCATTTTATGTGGATTCATTAATTCTCACTGCCAGTCTTCTAGTCTCAGGAACTCTAGGATTAAAGATGGTTTTAACATTTTAGGGGCCTTTCAAAAGAGAAGATTGTATACAATTAATTACCTGCCTAATGATTCCTGAACTAATCAAGCATTTACTTAAAACTGAACACAGAAGATGTTTTCCTTTAATGTTTGCTTTCTCCATAACTGCAAATAAAATGAACAAGGTAATGTCCTGCAATTAGAAGAACATTTTTTAAAGCAGCCATTTATTATGCTAATCGTCTAATAAATATAGAAACCCTAAAACTACGTAGAAGATGAAGACGAATAACAGAATAATGGAGTAGTAAACAATGGCAGCTTTTCTAGTCAAATCAGCGTTTCATTAGCTTCACAGCAGAATGCAGATGGAAGTTTCTGTTCTCGTTGTATGGGGGTTTGTGAAATGATTCAGGTGTTGCTACAGAGGTGAGCAATATCATGGATATACCTATGAACTCCTGGGTACTGATCCACTGTAGCAGATATGGCAGAGTTTCCAAAGATGATTATTTTAAATTATCGTTGCTGAAATTAAATTCAAAAGGATTTATTTTGTCTGTGGGGACCTTGAATTATGCTTCTGGCATTAATAATTGTAATGGACTATAACAGTTTAAAGGAATTGTGAATATTGACATAAGCCTCCAAATTTCTATTCTTAAATTATTTTCATTTTTAAATGAATAGACACGATCTTCCTCATTGTATGTGAGATGTATGTTTTCTTTCTTGGGAGTCAGAGGACAAATTTACCTTGTCCCCCACCCATCTCCCTCCAAATAAAATTCATTATTCGTACCCAAACAGTGGTGAGTCTATTGGAATTAACCTTGACAAAAAATGTTTTCCTTACCTTTCCAATGAATAGCATGGGTAAGACGGAGTGCCATCTCCTGAATGGAGCCAGAAAAGACAGCATTAGATGATGAACTTTTTCTTTTACTCTCCAGTCAGTCTGTGATTTAAATTGAGACATTAAAAAGATTATCTTCAGTGATTGCTGGTCCAGGAAACCTGAGCTGTACTGAAGTTCCTCCTTCCCTTCCTCCCCTTCACCCTGTTATATTCCAAAGTAAATTACTTTCTCAGGAAAAATAAGCAGTCAGAGATTCTGCCCCTCCTTCCCTGGGAAATGAATGTGTCTCTTTTGTCAGTTTTTATTTCTGTATTTCGCAGTACCTGTTTGTTTTAGAAGTGCCTTGTGTTTGCTAAAGATTGGTTCAAGAGCACTGGAGGAGCTGATCAGTGGCCTTTCTTTTTTCTGGCTTTTTTTTTTTCTCTCTTTCTTTCTTTCTCTCTTTCTTTCTTTCCTTAAAGCTAAGGTGTGCCAGAGGTGATGCCCTGATGCTGAGGAGGCATCAACAGCTATGGGACTGTAATCCTCTCAAATGTAAGCACTGGCAGTGTCTACAAAGAGAGATCGTGAGACGCTGAAGCAGAGTTTAGCTGCTCTTAAGCAGGTCATCTGCTCGCTAAGGCTCAAATTGCAGTGCTCCCTGATCACAAAACATGAACCAGTCCCGATGGATTGAATGGAGGACTCTGAATATGAGCAGTAGTGTTATCAACATATCTGAGCATCTCTCCTGCCCTCTTGGATTTGGTCACTACAATGCAGTTGACATCTGTATCCTTGAGACAGTTGTTATTGTCTTGCTAACTTTTTTAATTATTGCGGGTAACTTAACTGTGATATTTGTTTTTCACTGTGCTCCACTTCTGCATCATTATACCACCAGCTATTTTATTCAGACCATGGCCTATGCTGATCTTTTTGTTGGAGTTAGCTGCTTGGTTCCTACTTTGTCACTGCTCCACTACTCAACAGGTGTCCACGAGTCCTTGACTTGTCAAGTTTTTGGATATATCATCTCTGTGCTAAAAAGCGTATCTATGGCATGTCTTGCTTGCATCAGTGTGGATCGCTATCTCGCTATAACAAAGCCTCTCTCCTATAATCAACTGGTCACACCTTGTCGCTTGAGAATCTGCATCATTTTGATCTGGATATACTCTTGTCTGATCTTCTTGCCTTCCTTTTTTGGTTGGGGAAAACCTGGTTACCATGGAGATATTTTTGAATGGTGTGCTACCTCCTGGCTAACTAATGCCTATTTTACTGGCTTTATCGTGTGCTTACTGTACGCTCCTGCTGCCTTTGTCATATGTTTCACCTATTTCCACATCTTTAAAATTTGCCGGCAGCACACCAAAGAGATAAATGATCGGAGAGCTCGATTTCCTAGCCACGAAGTGGATGCTGCTGGGGAGACTGGGCACAGCCCCGATCGCCGCTATGCCATGGTTTTGTTTCGGATAACCAGTGTGTTCTACATGCTGTGGCTCCCTTATATCATATACTTTCTGCTGGAGAGCTCTAGGGTGTTGGAAAACCCAGCGCTTTCTTTCTTAACGACGTGGCTTGCTATAAGCAATAGTTTCTGCAACTGTGTGATCTATAGCCTCTCCAACAGCGTTTTCAGGCTGGGACTGCGGAGACTGTCAGAGACAATATGTTCATCTTGTATGTGTTTAAAAGACAGGGATGTACGGGACCCTAAACCAAGAAAACGGGCTAATTCCTGCTCCATTTAAAGAAAACTGGCGCATGGGATCAAACGCGGAGTTTTGATAGTATTTGCTGTGTCTGGAAGCTTGCCAGAAGAGAAATGTTTACTTGAATAGCTCGCTATGATGTTAGAGTGGGTTTAAAAGTGTTTGTGGAAAAGGAAAAGGCGGCTGTAAGAGGGGTCACTGAACTTGAATATAGCTCTTGTGAAATTGTAAGGAGAGCAGTTGGACAGAGATGATGAGGAAAGTCACAACTAAAATCTTCCAAAGGGCATGAAATAACTACCACATCAGAGGAGGTTCCTCATAAAATAAGTTAGTTACTACCTTATATTTTCCCACTTGTAGAAAAGTTGTCTTACTATCTTTGTGTCTTAATATACTGTAGCCTTCTGAATTATAAATATATTTAAGAGGCAACAATCAACAGCACAGTAAGTGGCTATCCGTAAATTATATACCTGAGGACTATAGTAGATATTGCAGAGTAATAACCAGCTCTATCTCTGCTCACATCTTGTACAATATTCAGTTGTACAAAAATCTGCAATGCATAATACCTACACTGGGCATGATGCTTTTGGATAAAGTGGCACATTTTGGTACAACTTTCACAGCAGTTCTCCCTCTCACTTCCCCTTTTTTTTTCCATACTGTGCATCCCTAGATTCCATCACGTCCAAGTGGTTTAGTTTGAGGGCACCTCCAAGGTAAATTGAGCTTCAAACCATTCTTCCTACGGAAAGCAATAGCCCTTCCTGGCTAGCTGAGTAACTTCAGCTGCCCGTGTACGACGACTTCTTCAATCTTTCATTCTCTTGATCCTGTTAAATTAGCACACAGTATCGCTGTAGTGTCCTTTAGGGTGTACTAAAGCTTCTCCTTTATTGGCTACACAGGTAATCCTAAATGCAGATATGATAACCGCACACAGCAGTGGCATCACTGCTTAGAAAATGAAACCTAACTAACCTTTTTTCCTTGGGAAGTCTGAATAGCTTACTGTTGTAGCTGTCAATCCGTTGTGTGAACCTAGCTTGCACATACTGTATGTTTTTTTTAGAGAAAACGTAAATTGCGTTCTGTGCCTAATGTTTTCATAGCACATGGAATAGGTCAATGCTTCAGGATTTTAAAAGTACACTTGTTTAAGAGATACTTCTGTGCAGTTGTTGAATAGCCGTTTGTTAGACAAGTGTTCTTGGAGGAGAACAAGACAGTTTAGTATTAAATAGAGGCAAAGAGCTTCAGTATTTCCTTTTGTACTGAACTGATTTTCAGGTCCACTGATGAAATCTTTTTTATTTTGCAAGGGCACGCATTAGGTTTGTGTAATAAATTGCCAGGGGTTCAGATGCATGCCAATCAATAAAATATTTAAATTATTATGTTGAACCAAATGTAATTTTCTTAGATGGTTATTGGCTTTTAAAAAAGGCCCAATTATTGATTATTGGTGCCTTTTAACACTGCACTATTATTCCTTATTTCACCAAAATGCATATGTAAAGATCGTGCCTATTACTTTTGGTAATGGAAGCTAACCACGCTTGCACACTTGTGGTTTGTCTCTAAATCTCCCTAATGATGTATTCTTTGTTCTGTTGAGGTGGTTCTGAACCCCTGTACATTTTTTTTAAACATGTAAGAAAGTTGAAACAATGGAATAAAGTAGTATTATGTATATCAAAACCAGCCTTGGCGTTAGTTCCCTGATGTTTTGCTCTGTTCTCTGTGAAAATTCTTTTGGGTCAGGACTCGAGTGAATGATTTAAAATCCAAACCTCAAAGCTGCTTACTTGCCATCTTAAGCATTTATATACCGGTTTCTGGCATTGTGCAATCTTTAAAGCAGGTTGAAATATCACTTGAAACATTCCTCTAGCTAAGCTGAGCTGTTGCTGACAATTAGCCCTGATAGATACTACGGAAAAAGGAGTAGTATTCTTTGCACATATCTTGTAATGCTCTGTGTCTACAGGAATGTGTCTGCTGCCTTCTTCTGAAAAGTCGCTGTTCATTTCGGAAGGCTCTTTTTGGCTGACTGCTGCTCTACAAGGTTGTGTAACCCTGTCTCTTCTTACAAACATGATCTGGATTCCTTTCGTTTTGTCATTATTTTGTCATTGTTTCCTGCTTAGTAGGTCCTCAGCGTGCAAGACTTAGACAAGGAACAATGAAATATCTCATCTCTCTCAACTCACAGAGCTGGTTTCATACCAGTGAAGTAGATTGATACCTGTGCTCCAGAGCTGGCCACTTACCACTTCTGGTTTTTGTTGGCATTCTTGGTAAAAAGTTTCTATGGGGCCTCCTGAAATTCAAGAAAAGTTCTAGAAAATGCGTGAAATTGAACTAACCTTTTATTAAACAGCCTGGAGGCAGTAGATGCATTGTTAGCGTGATACTATAAATACAAATATGTAGAAATATACAAGCTAACTCATTTGTATCGGTAGTGCCTTAGCTGAACCCTGCTTGTGTGACCTCACCAACCAGAGCTGACGTGCAGCAACGGGAAGCTTTGTTGCCTGCAAACGGTAGGCCAGAAAGGGAGCTTCACTTTGGAGGCTGCGGCACAAAGTTTACTCACCGGCCCACCGGCTTCTTGCCCTGAAGGGCAGAGTTAGCAATACTTTCTCTCTACCATCGTGTTGAGCTTGTGGAGTTGTCAGGTGGGACTGAAGATTTCCTTTTTCCTCAGGCTGTCCTTGAAGGGAGAGAATATAGTAGAAATCCTGTACCCTGCAAACAAATCATAGGTTCCTAGGTTCTTCACCCTTTTTTTTTGAGTTTGTTTCTTAAAAAGTGGCTTAATGTTGTTGGTAGAGCACTAATTTGCTTATCTGGACACTGAATTTCAGTTGCTGTAAGGTCACACTTCAGCCTGTTCTCTGTAAATCTGAGTCGCCTGGTCTCCTGGAATCTGTCAAATTAAACATCCACAGCAGAGTTGAATGCTGCGTTTCTTCTTGCTGTTTGCAGCATGGTAGGATTTGACTTGGTGGCCAGTCACATGAATTTTTAAATTTAGTGTGTTTCATTTTTTTGAAAGTGTTTTCTAAATTTACGCTTTAATATTTTATTTGAGAGAGGTTTGTTATTGTTTTAACTAATGCTGTCTGAGGATTCCAGCTGGTGCTAAATTCTCTTCCAAAATTATAAGGCTGGATGTTTTAATGGATAGAAGAAGTTCAATAGAAATTCCAGTCACCCGATCTGTCACTTTCGATTTTCATTCTGTCGTTATAGAAAGTCTCATGTTCTTACATGAAAATCTGATTAAAGAATGAGACTTCTAAAGCTGGCATCTGGAGTACATATCCCACTTTCGTGTGCCTGAAGATCTTTATGATTTATGAAATACCTAGTAAAGAGGTGACCAGACACTGACCAAAGAAATCAACATGAAAAAATCGTTGCTGATAATGTAGGTAATAATAAAGTAGATAAATGTACAAATACGTTGGGGGAGTCACTAAAACTTTAGGTTTCTTAAAAAAAAAAAAAAAAAAGTAGCCATGAGAAGAAAACGTGTAAAATACTAAATAAAAAGAGTAAAGTGAAGAGATATGTCTAATAGGTAAGCAAAACAACAATGACGAAATATATATATATGAAGCTCCTTTGTGCAGGTGGATTATGTTGTGCTGTTACGTTTCTCTTGAATACTTACACTTGTAGTGTAACAGAGGCTATGTCAAGGTTGATTGCATTACCACTTTTGGAACCTCATGTGTTCAGCCTAAGGAAAAGTAAGAAAAATTTATGTAATGGCAGCAAAACACCATCAGGAAAGTAATTTTTTTTCTTCACCAAATTCTATGTGCTTCCTTATTTTCTGGAATGGCTACGTTAATTTCTTCTTAAAGTATTCTTTGAGGGTAATTTAAAGGGAAAAGAAAAGGGAAAGAAAACTTAGTAATGAAAAGCACAAGCCTGTCTTTTAAAACTTTACTTATTGTCTTATAGTAAAATCTTTTTTTTCCTCATTTCTGCTTAAGAATTCATTTTGTAATTGCCCTTGGTAAAGCATGAGGTATTGTGCCAGGTTTATTTTTGTGCAGAATCTTTGTGCTTCCTCTGCTGAAAAGTTTCTTGTATTTTGCTTTATTGAGCCTCCTTTCATAGATACAGTCTCTGAAGACCTTTTCAAAATAGCATTTCTATTGGTTTTACGATTATTCTTAATTCATTAGTGTTTGGCAACTGAATATCCATAAGCACACTTAGTTTTCACACTCAGCAAAACTAATACGATGTAAAACAGCTTACCAGTCAGTGTAAGACATTGGCTATTCGGACAAGTGTATCAGTGTAACGGTTAGTTATTTCATTAGCTATTTCATCCTGCCTATGAAAAATATAAGGAAAAGATAGTTGTTGCAACAGGATGTCAAGTTGATGGGAAATGCATCCGATTTTAATACTATCTCACAGTTGGTTCTCAACATGAAACTATTTTATCTTTCCATATTACAGTTGCAGCCAAGCAAATAAATATCTTTTTTTTTTTTTAATGTTGATTTTTGAATGCTGAGGATCTCTCTCTCTCAAGCCAAGCCGCTGCTGGTGGTGGGAATATCCCTTTAACCGATCTCAGACTGGGGTGCAGCGTGCCCAGCAGCATGATGGTCCTGGAGCTGGCTTTGCCAAGGAGCAGCGCCAGAGGTTCAGGAGGCCAGGAGTGGCAGTGAAGGTGGCAGTGGCCTCCCGAGCCATCCTCCAGGATCAGCCAATTTGCAGATCTTTCAAATTGTATTGTCACTGTCACCCAGAGGATAAGTTAAAGCCTTTTTCACTTCATCCTCCCCGTTACCTTTCTCTCTCTTTATGCTGTTCTATGGATGGAGTGGTGCATCGTTCTGCTAAAGGAGTGAATTAAATTTATTTTGTTTGGGGTTTTTTTGATTAAAATATTTTACGTATGTCATTTGAATGGTAAAACCAAATTTTACTTTGTTAACTACATGCTGATTAATTTTTAGACCTTTCCAGAAATGGGAGCGTCACTGAGGTAATGT